AAAGAGACGTGTCAGTGTGCGTGCATACATGCTTCAGCAGCTTAGCGTTGGCAGCCATTTGTGTTGCACGGTGTGACGTTGTGCTTCATTAGTTTTGGATGGCTATTGGGTTGCTTGCAGAGTGGAACATGTTGTGCATTTTGAACCTGATGTTTGGTTGCTGGGCGCCTTTGTGCTTTTGAGCGGAAAACACATGCAACCGACAAGCTTCGTTTCGCTCGCGTGAGACTTGGCTCGATCTTTCTAAATCGCTCAGAAGCAAGATTGTGTTCTTCTTTCAGTTCGGCGTGTCGCAGCATCCCATGTTTCTATGTGCAAAATAGAATCATGACGCAAGCGTCGAAGCATTCGGCCAACGTCGGTTCCAACATACCGGTTCCAGATGAGTCGAAGCTTTGATAGTGACGTGGTTGACCAAAATCGTGGTAGTGCAGAGCTTCAGCCGCTACAACAGCGTCAACATGCAAGGCATCTGAGCAATGGGTAACAAAGGACAAAAGCAATCAGCGCGTGTTAGATTTGGCACATCCGAAGACGAAAAGCGCCCTGAGAAGCGTCAACGTCTGACCCTGCAGACACCGCGAGCTCTTCGACTTTTCCATGTGAGCGGCTGTTATTCAAATTACTTGATTGTCGGCGCAAGGAAGTGACATTGATGATTGGTGGCCATACAGCGTGGCTGTGGCTGCGCAGATGTTTGGCAGTGGAAAAACCACCCTTTGGCGCAACTTTATCACGCAGCTGAAGGACTCAGGTCGAGGAGAAAAACTGGGGTGCTACCTGGCAGCAAGAACTGACACAGGCACAGAGTGCTGCTATGCAACATTTTGATTTGCGGAGCTGCACAACTTTGAGCCACGTCATTTACAAGCGCCGCACGGAAGGAGGACCAGAAACTGTCAAGATTGCCGAGTGGATTTTTAATGAAGTTGTGGAGTGCAACACTCCGCTGTTTGTCCATTTCGATGAGGTCGGCTCCTTTGGAGCAAATGTCAGAGATTTGCGTGATACTGTGCAGCAGACTTGGTGTGGAGGCGACATGCCTCGGATCACTTCTGTTTAGTGGCAAGAGTGTTCCATTGACTGCGGTTGGTGGACCTGCCTCTGGAGTTGGAACGAAATGGATCATTCTGGATCTGCTGCAGGAGCTGATGAATCTTGACATGTTTCAAAGCCCTGCTTCGAGGTTCTGAAGTCACTTTCAGCGCGGTTGCTCTTCGTGGAACGCACTGTCTTTTAAGTTGTTTTGACCAAGTTTCAATCCTATGTCCAGAGAAGCCTTGCAGGAGCAACACATCAAGTACATCATTGAGACATCGACGCAAAGCGATCCGCTTCTGCTCTTGCCTTTCCTGGCCAAGCTACCGCAGCTACCACAGGTTTTGCAGCTATGAACAGGAGGCAGTCCGCGACTCTTGGTCTACAGTTTGCGAGCTCTACACCATTTGCTTAAAGACCAAGAAGGCAGAGACGCTGAGCACTTTGATGCGGAGAAGACCATGGAAGAAGTCTACCGCATCCTGTCCAATGAAGTGCCACAAGTGGCGAGCGAGATATTTTTGGCTAGCAGAGATGAGGCTGAGTGGCGCCAGACATGGCTTTACTTGATCCTGTTGGCCCAGCTGCGTGTACCTTGCCACCGTGAGATGACCCTCATGAACACCCGCTGAAGCAGGGTTTGCCTACCCTGCTTCAGGTCCGCGGATCTTCGCCATTTGTTAAGACTTCTGCTGTTTGCCATCATCTCCGGCCTGCCGCCTGTGCAGAACTTCGAACAGATTTGCCGTCAAATCCATCAAATTTGCTAAATTGACTTTTCTGCTGTAGGAACTTGAGATTTAACTGGTTTGAAGGATTTGATGGGTTGACTTGGCTCAAAGTTGACAAGATAAGTGAAGGCGACAACATCTTCAGACACTGCCCAGGGCACTCCTTAGGTTTGTTTCTGGCAGACTTGCCCTCCCTGCAACGATCCACTGTCGTCTGGGTGCGTGAACTGACGAGCTGGCGTGCTGCAGTTGGCTCAAGCTAACAGCTTTAAAACACTGCGTGCAGTGAGAATGGAGCTGTGTGGTTCAATGGGTGAAACGGTTCATGCATGAACACCTATGCAAAGTCTCAAAGTGTTATCTATAGACATGCAAGCATTGACTTGGTAAACCAATGGAATGGATGCCTTGCAATGGGCCAGGTGACTTCTGTCTGTGAACGCCGACACAGCCGGCGGCTACTCCTTCCAGTTGAGGAAACTTGCGGCAGCTTTGCCGTTAGCCGGACAAGTGGTGGTCACAGCATCCTTGACTCGGAGAGATTTGAGCAGAGCCTGTGCAATGTGCTCGTTCAACACGGGCTCCGGGTCAGGAGCAACATTTACTACAACGAGAGTCTGGAGATACTCGAAGACTCGACAGCTTTGCACGATGCGCACATTTTCGTTCTCCAGGTCCAGCGGCAAGGTCTCAAACATGTGGAAGAGGTGCGCGAGAAGTGGAACGTGCACAAAGGTGCTTTGGACAACGCCAGGCTGAGAGCATATAGCAGGGCTGTGGACAGATGGTTCAATGGCGACAAAGAGAACCCACCCCCAGCACTGGGGTTGAGAGGGGAAGTCCTTTATGAGGTGAACATGAAGTCAGAGCCAGCAGGGCCAGCCGTGGAACACGACCTTCCTGAAGTAGCAGTCCGTCTGGGTGGGAATCAAGTCATCACGCTTCAGCGCTTCATCCAGGAAAGGCTTCATACGCCTGCCCTGATTGAAATTACTATAGAAGCTGTTTTGTCGGACAGAAAGCGTCGACAGATCAAAAAACAATGTGAGCTTG